TAGGTTTAAGGTTGGACTTGATGATCTTAAAGGTCTTTTCCAACCTAAATGATTTCATGATTTAATGATTCTTTTCTCATATTGGAGAAGGATACCCAAACTGTAAGTAGGTGTCTGAATCACTGCATGGAATTAATCCATAGGGTTTAGTATTCTTTTATATTTGTATGTAAGCAACAATATATTACTTGCAGACTAAATGTACCAACTTTGTCCTTGATGTTCCAACATTTTAGTATGTTTCTAATTTTTACTACATACTTTGTCATGGCAAGGCATGAAAAAACTCATAGCAAAATCATAGTGAGAATGGTGTTTTTCATGTGACATAAGAAATATGCTCAAGTATAGCAACTATTGAGAATTCGATTTCCTGAATAATTAAAGCACCTTTCAGATTACTGATACCTAATTTTTCAGATGTGGTTACCCCCAGGGCTCTTACAGAGGCATGCAAAGGCTATATAGCCAAACGCTTCTATTTGGAAGGGAAATAGGAAATGAATATTTTGTATTACTAAAAAACAGGTGTCTTGGCATTACATGCCAGGCAATTGCTGGGGGAAAACAGAGCAGAGCTTTGGGAAAGTGTTAGAAAGCAAGCTGCCAGGAAGCTTATGACTTTTTTAGTACTCAGGAAGTGTTATGGCAGGTCAAATGTGATTAATGGGTTGTATTTTGATCCAAGAATTTTCTGCTGATGATATTGAAACAAGTAGTATTAGGTATCCTATCTGGTTGTAAGGAACCTTTATGAGAATTTTTAAAAAAATCATTAAATGATATCTATGAGTGCATGTACCTTGTCATATAAATTAGTTTCCCAATGTCCTGAAAAAATGTTACAGAAATGCAAAATTTTTAGAATCAGACCTCTTGCTTCTTGCTTTTTAGCAGTAGAGAAAGCTAAGAATGAGATATATATTGTAAAGTATTAAATGTAATTAGATAAAGTAAAATATCTCTTAAATATTTTCAATTTTACCTGTTATAGAGGGGTGAAACATCTCTCTCCTGTGGAAGGGAGAAGAGCACCACGTCAGGTTGTTCACCTGTCATTGTGAACTTCATAAAAATAACTTGGAAATGGATGAAAAGGAATAAAATATTTAGAGTTAAGAGCTCTAAAAGGATCTGTAGGGAAATTAAACTAGAATTTAGTCCTTTAAATACAAAACTCTAATCTTGAAAGTCCTACTGAGCAAATATCTGGACCTAGAAACTTAAACTCCATAGATAACTTGTTTTAGCTTTGGTTTTGTATTTTAAATCTGTATTTAAATTTTATTTTGTATTTAAAATTACAGTTCTGATCTTGACTAGAAACATGTTCACTTTAACAAGGCTGATTGACTCAGCAGCTTTTTATACTAAAGCCCTTTGGAAAGTATGATCCAGATATTTCTAACCTGAGCTTGATGTAGTCAAAAAGGATATGCTGTTGAAGCATGCCCTCCTGGTCAACCATGTTGAGTGAAGTTCAGTAAGTTTCTTTCAAAGTAGAGAGGAAATAGAGATTAATCAATCAGTAGTAACAGGCCATGAGAACTTTAGATTGAATTCCAACCCCTGCCCTTGTTTCTTGACAGTTTTAATCTATATAGCAAGAACAAGCCTTCTGTAATAATCAAAAATTACTCTTCTGTAAGACAAATATTCTCAGTGCTTCTTGCTAAAGTTTCCTTTTTATGCAGAAAAATGCTCCACTCAGGGAGAAGGAAGTTGCTTTTCTTGTCTATTTTTCTTAGAGTATCGATCAGAGAGAAAAGGCCTGGGTTCAAAGCCAAGATCCGAAATACAAAATATTGAAATAACCATTGGAGCAAGGAATGGAGCCTAATGCTGCATGAGAGTATTCTATGTTAGGAGACAGAATTATGTGTCTTCTTTATAGTCCAGTGAATCCAAATTAGTTTCTGCAAAATAAAACAGCTTCAGCTGCAGGAAGTGGCACTGTCCCATTGCATTTAGTTCATCGTCTTCAGTGGTGGGAGAGTTCCTGCTCTAATCAGAGAAGAAATGAAATTCTCCAACTTCCAGTGCTCAAATCAACTGAGCAGTTAGAGATACTGTGGACAGCCTCATTTGTTTCTTTCTTTCTGTTGCTACTCTTTAAAGAAACAGTGACCTTCTCCTCCATTGTTAAGAGATTAAGCATGCATCTTTGGGTTTTTAGTCTTGAACACAAGATGACTCACTCAGTGAGCGCTGTTGAAGATAATTAAGTCCTGGAGAGAAGCATTATTTAAAACACCCTTGTTATGTATCTCTTCACTGTTTGGTGTTACATTGCTTCCAGTCAAAGCACTATTCACAGTGCTGTTTTCTGTGGATCCTGATTTAGATGATATAACTTGCCTCAGATGACATATTAGAAGACATCTCACATATTAGGTGCATAGTCCAGGACTATGAATTCTGAAATATGGATTCTGAAAGGCTACACTGTTTGGGTATTGCAAATGACTTGGTAGCATCCAGGTGACTGACTCAAGAGAAAATGCAGCAATGGAAGAAATCAGTGGGCATGTGTGTCACGAACCAGGCTGGACAGACAAGGGAGTCATGTTGAATTTGAAATTCCCTCAGGCTAAATTCAGGTGAAACAACACGAAACGATCAGCTGAACATTTTATTCCTGGCAGAAGCAGCCTGAACATGGGAGGCATAACAGTAGGTGGCAGGGTCTCTCACAACAGGAATTGGCATGAAACTACCTCAGTAAACCGTGTAACCTGTGTTAACTACATACATCAATTCAGGGCATAAGGAGAGCCCTCCCATTGATTCATGAGGTTCAGAGCAGACCCTCTTGCTTTCTAGACTCCTTCTCAGAGAAGAGCCTAGGGGAGGCTGGATCCACTCTTAGTTCCAGACTTGGTCAATGGTTTTATGTCTTCAAGGGGTGATGTGTAGGGATTATGGAAAAGGAAATAGAGAACTAGACAGAGAGAGAAAAAGGAAAAGAGGAAGATTTCACCAGTCCTGGGTCCAGTGTTGGTCCAGTCAGGCAAGGGGTAGAGTTCTGGTAGGCGTGTGTGCAGGTGGGGCTTTGGTTTGTGCCCTTTTATCATCCTTGCCCCTCCTTCGGGCAGGCACTCGAACTCATTAGGCTAATTAGGTGTCATGAGCAGTTTGTGAGCCTTTGGGCTTGGGGGTCGTTTGGGGAGTAACTTCCCCTTCCCTGCAGACATGATCTTTGGCCCCACATGGTGAGCTGCCCTGCTCAGCGTATCAGAACAGCACATCAGAACAGGGAGCTGTGCACCCTTCAGCACGCCCTCCCTCCAGCGGGTGCTGATGGGCTTCTTTTCACCTGTGGTTCCTTGGCAGCGTTCCTCGTTATGCAGAGTTGGTTGTTAGGTAGCGCTTGCCCCACCACAATGTTTGAAACATTAACTCTTTCAGTCTCACACATGTGCTCCTGTGATACTAAGGCTTGACAGTGACTGCAATCTCATTTGTATTTGAGTTTGAAACATCATCTTGTGTCCTTTGTAACGAATAAATTCCATTATGGAAATTATTTTCCTAGTTTCTGAGTAACATATTTGCTACTGATTTGTCTTTTTGTCATTCATCCTTTCTAACAGCTGGTTCCAAAATATTAGTGAAGGATCCCAGACCAGCTTTGGGAACACCAAGTCCCAAACTAAGTGGTAAGTACTTTGAGGTACATATAGTTTTAAATAATTTCTGTAGAAAAGACAACGAGAATCAATTTAGTGAGACTGCACTGAATGGCTTAGAATGACTAAAGGGTATTAGATTAGGCATCACATTAAGAGAACAAAAACATTGTTAATTAAATTATTCCCCAATGTTTAAGTCCATCTAGACTATGTGGTATTATTTATACCCATATACAATTTCTGTTATGTGATGAGAGATTTTATTGGTTTCACTAAAATTGCCATGTTCTGTGTAAGATCCTATGCAATTTATCCATTCAGAAACTATATTACTCACCCAGATGTAATTTAAAGACATATTGTTTCACAGGTTTTTTCAGTCTTGCACTTCTTTTACATATTGCTAATTAAATTGCTTTACCTAAATACTTCTGTATTAGCCTTCAACGTAGCCTTCAAAAAAGCTAATTTTAGCCTGGAGAAGGTAGTCTCTCTAACTCCAGCTAAAATCAACTCCAGTTTTAACTGATCTGCTAAAGAAGACTATCTTTGGATGGCCTGACTAGATGCGAGAAATCTTTCTCTGTCCACTGAAGAGACTTTTTGAAGAGAGAAGTCTCCTTAACTAAAATTAGCCTTTGACTATAACCCTATTAAATGTCTACCAATAATGAATAAAGATTTAAAAGTAATTCCTTAGCATAGGGGGAGTTTGTGGGGCTTTTTTTTTTTGCTTTGTTTTGTTTTACTGGTTTGTGCAGTACTTCACAACTGTGTTGTCAATGTGGTACTGCATGGTAGTCACGTTACCAGTTTTTCATTCAGAAGCTTTTCGTACAATCCCAATTAATTGCACATAAAGTCCATAAAGGTCAGTTTTCCTGAAAGTAGGGAAATAAATTTCAGGCAGATCACAATTCAACAGCATCAGACTGCTTGCACCATGCAGCTTTCTTGCTTGCAGTTTGCAGGCCCAGTATGTAGGTGTTTTGTTTTTATGTGTCCACCTGTCAAAAAATATATGCATATATACATATATGTACACAAATAAAAAACTAGAAAAGCTCTTTTACCCTCCATGGGGAAGACAACCTGTCTCTGTGACCCATAAAATAAACGATGAAGGAAGACTCTCGGGTATTCCAGTGTGCCCCAGTCTTGAATTTTGGGATATCCTGAGAGAGAAAGGGGCAAGTACTCTTCTGTGTTTATCTGACATGCCATGCCAATGCACACACAAACCCAGAGCTTTAAGTTCAGTGTGAGTGACTCCAAATAATGTGAAAGTGCGGATTCTAAATACTTATTAATTGTTATAGGGCTAAGTTTGATACTTTTCCTTTGAAAAGTGTGGTAAACACATCCTAAGTCACCTTCAATTTAATTGTTTAAATGGTATCTCATGTTAAGATTTTAAAGTTTTGCATGTATCTGTTTTTACTGGATAGGTAACTTGTTTTTTTTAACTGTATTATTGCTGGAATAGCATTACTTAAATTAATAATTTCACAGTTGGCTAATGATAAATATTAAATATAAAGGTATGAATCTAGCGTATTTATTATCCCTACAGTGTATGATCTCTTTTTAATTCTAAATTAGGGGATTTTTTTTTTTTCTCCTAGTGAAGCTTATAATGTTTTTAAGCATTCAAAGACAAGACAAAACTATTTATATAAATTATTCATTAGAAAAAGTGACTAGGTAATAAAGAAGATGCTTATAATCTTTTAATGTCATTTAAATATGCTTATAAAACTTTTTAATATCTAAATCGATATTAATTTCTGCAAAATTTAATCCTAGCTGTATGTCTCTGCCTGTCTGTGCTGGCATAGAAAAGATTCTGCAGTGAGAGGAATCTGGTCTTTTGGTTACAGCTGTTAAATTAGATTTTATGAAGTTGGTTTAATTCTAGGACATGTCCATATTTGAGGAAAGGAGCAAATGAAGGTACAGTTGTGGTTGTGTTCTTCAGTACAAATACATTTCTTTCATAAACGTTAATGCCACGTTTCTGTGCTTTGTATGTGAAGGTTATGCCTAATAGTACTTAAAAATAGAGAGGGTAAAGTAGAGAAAATGCTAGTATTTGTCATACATTTTGTTGGACGCTTGACTTGATAAGTACTAAATATTGCAAGATGTATTGAAACATGTTTGATGTCTGTATAGTTCCTGATGATGTATTTGCCCAAAATTATATATGGAAAGGATCTTACAATTACAAAAGCAAGAAACAGCCCATGACTTTGACAGTCACCAGTTTCAATGCAACTTCAGGAAGAGTAAATGCAACGCTTACAAACAGCAATATGGAATTGCTGCTATCAGGTATGGGATAAGAAAAATTCATTTCCATTTAATTTTTTCTGCCTTTTATACGTCAGTTCCCTGTAACTTTATGCATAACACTTAAACTTTTAACATCTTCTGGAAACTTTCTTAGCTTATCAAAGAGATTTTCATTCTAGTTCAGTTCCTTTTCAAAGGTAGGGATTTTTCCACCTTCTCCTTCTTTCCCCTTTTTTTATTTCTCAGGTTTTTATTATATTTGGAGTTAATAGTCAAGGAGGAGTGAAAGAATCATCCTAATTCTCATGCTTCTTCCTTAAATATTAAAAATAAACTCTAAATTACTGTTCCTGAGATTTTCTTAATTCGTAATCGTGCAATTTCCTTACAATAGCCTATTAATGACTAATGAGCAATATGATGAGACTGATATGTATTGACCTAGCAAGGCAGAGATACTTAATGAACTTGGAGAGCATGGAGAGATTACGCTTATTAGACTAGTGATATAGTTGAAAAAAGTAGCTACTCTTCATGCTGTGGTTTCAAAAGAAGCCCTTGATTGCAATCTTGGTTTATGATATTCCACAGTCCCTGCCACACAGAGCTCTGTTGCTATGGTTATGTTGACACAATATGCACAGTTCTCTATGCTGTGAACCATCAGCAGAAACTACAGATAGGGCTTAACAAACAAGCAAACAAAAATACTGTAAAAAGTGTTTGAGTTTATAGTTTTTGTTTGTTTTTCAAACTCTGTCAGTCCCATGATTGAGACATCTCAGCCACACAGACAATGGGCCTGTCACACCACAGGAGTGGCAGGGTATAGCACAGGGGCATGAATAAGCATAAAAGAAACACCTGAAATCAATATTATCACTCAAAACTTAGTTTCTTGTCTCTCTCTCTGCAACACTTTTTGCCAGGACTGAAGAAGCTTAAAAATCACAGTTATGTATTGGCTGGACACTGCTGGTTTTAATCTTGTTCATCACTTAAGGACCCCTTTCTCTGAAGTAGTTTAACATCACTCTTTATCCCAGAGATGTTATCAAGGACATAAGTGACAGAACATCAACCTGTTGGAAAAAAAAGAGAGGGGGAATTTCAGCCCGTATGTTTTTGAGAGGGGTGGTCTGCAGGAAGAATGTAATGGGCCAAAGAATCCACATCTCTTGAGCTTGAGTTTCTAGTATCTAGTAGAGTGGTGAATTTTTGTCACTAGGTTTGTCTGTTGAAGATATTTTGTAGGTGTCCTTTGAAGGGTCACACTTGAGAGGCTGTAGATGACCTGAATGTTTCATAAATATTTTCTAACTGGTAATGGTGTTTGTCTTGACTGTGTGAACTTATTCTATTGTACGATGCCTCTTTGGTTTCAGCCATGTAATTTCTATGAGGGTATTAGGTGCAGCGGATGTAGTATTTTGTATTTTTAGGATTAGTAAAAGTACAAGCTGTGTTTTCTCACTCAAACAACCTCCTTGTCCTCCAAATAAAAAGGTTCCCTCAGTTGGACACAAAAGTAATTACAAATGCCCATTTTCACTCTACATACAGGCATTGCACATGTCATCAGGTAATTAATATTATTTTCTTTCCCTATTTTGCAGATAGAAAACTGAGATCCTGTATATTGAAAGAGTATCTTAGGGCCAGGGAAGTAGGGATGGATCAAAAAAGACATTTAGATGCCAGGGAGCTGATATCTCCTATACTCAACTTGTAGGTTTCTGAAATGAAAAATAGTTTTCTCCCCATGCAGCACTTCCTGTTTTGCATTCCATCGTTTACTGCATCTTTTTTTTTATTTCTTTCTATTTAGACACCTGTGCTTGCTGTAATTATAGTATATATATGTCTGTCACAGGTTAGAAATGGGCATGTTCTTTTGATCAGGTTAGCATGAGTGAATATAGCAATGCTATTATAGGCATTAAGAGAAGAGAAGAGAAAGGTACAGCTTTTACTTGTTTATTTGGCTCAGATTAAACACTTTCTTGTACACTGGGAACCCAGTTGCCAGCTCTGAAGAAGCACATTGGCCTTTCACCAAGAAACACTTGCAAATCCACCATTGTAAATCAACAGAGAACAGTGATGCCTTGGTCTGTGGGATAATTCTCTCTGCTCTTGTTTGAGTGTACGTACATAATGTTCATGCCCATGTACAGACACCACAGCCCTCAGCCTCATGCAGATACTTCCTGATGTACATTTATAAGATGCATCCATGGCAGATGTGACTGATTTTTTTTCCCAAGTTCCAAATGATTTCTAGGTGCACACTGTCCAAGCTCTTGAAGTGACTAAACACTGTATGATAATGTTAACACAGTACTGAAGACAAAAGAATAAACCCTATCTTACCAAGGCACATTCATTTGAGCTCAGTGCAGCGTTAACACGAAAGTAAGTCTGCTTGTTAGCTCAGAGATGATTTGTATAAAATGATACCTCCTATAGGGCAATCACCTATCCTTAATGTGGAGAAGGCTTTTGTTCTGTGAATTTAGGCATGTAGATGAGAAACATGAATTAGGAATCTCATTGCCGTGTCTCTTACTGCAGCTTCTGAAGAGAGCTAGGAAGTTTGTATCTTAACCTGAACTGAACTTTTTTGAGATGCTCATCTCGCCATAGTCTGTAGTGAGAGTCTAGAGAGAATAAGCTAACAGAAAGGACAAAGTTAAATGTCTTTTTTTAGTTTGGATATATCTGGGCACGCAATCTGTTTCCACTTTTTAAGTGTTTGTATTTTCTCAGATTAGCAGCCAGCAAGACAAAGGTGACCATGCTTTTTCTTCTCTGGAATTCATTTTAATACAATAGCATCACCCACCATTCTCTTCTGACCCTGTATACAAAACTCTTAACTATGAGTCTGAAAACTCTGCTGTCTCCCAGATCATCTCTTTGCAGCACTGCAGTCCAATGTTAAGCTATTCGGTTGTGCCAGCATTTCTTCCTTCTGTACCTTAAGATGCTAAAAGCACTAAGTACCTGCATATTTCCTTTCTTCTGCTACTGTGTTAGCTAGTGTTTTTGTGCAGCCTTAGTTATTTTTTTTTTCCACTGGAGAGTGTGCTGGGTTGACCTTGTCTGGATGCTAGGTGTCCACCAATCTGCTCTATCACTCCGTCTCCTCAGCTGGACAGGGGAATAAAAATACAACAAAAGGTTCGTGGGGTGAGATAAGGACAGGGAGAGATCACTCACCAATTACTGTCATGGGCGAAACAGACTCGACTAGTGGAAATTAATTTAATTTGTTACCAATCAAATGAGAGTAGGGTGATAAGAAATAAAACCGAATCTTAAAACACCTTCCCCCCTCCTCTCCCTTCTTTCTGGGCCCAACTTCACTCCCAAATTCTCTACCTCCTCCCCTCCAAGCAGCACAGGGGGACAGGGAATGGGGGTTGCAGTCAGTTTAGCACACATTGTCTCTGCTGCTCCTTCTTCTTCACTCTCTTCCCTGCTCCAGCATGCGGTCCCACCCATGTGAGACAGTCCTCCATAAACTTCTGCAGTTTGTGGGTCCTTCCCACACGCTGCAGTTTCGCACGAACTGCTCCACCATAGGTCCTTTCCACATGTCCTTTCCACGGGGTGCAGTCCTCAGACTGCTCCAGCGTGGAACCACCACAGGGTCACAAGTCCTGCCAGAAAACCTGCTCCAGCATGGACTCCTCTCTCCACAGGCCACAGGTACTGCCAGGAGCCTGCTCCAGCATGGGCTTTCCCATGGGATCCCAGCCTGCTTTGGGCATCCACCTGCTCTGGTGTGGGATCCTCTACAAGCTGCAGGTGGATATCTGCTCCACCATTAACCTCAATTGGCTGCAGGGAAACAGCCTGCCTCAGCATGGTCTTAACCGTGGGCTGCAGGGGAATCCCTGCTCTAGCACCTGCAGCACCTGCTCCCCCTCCTTCTTCACTGGCCTTGGTGTCTGCAGGGTTGTTTCTCTCACATATTCTCACTCCTCTATTCTGACTGCTACTGGTGTTGTGCAGGGTTTTTTTCCCCCCTTAAATATGTTATCATAGAGGCACTACCACTGTTACTGACTGGCTCAACCTAGGCCAGCGGTGGGTATGTCTTGGAGCCAGCTGGCATTGGCACTATATGACAGGGAGGAAGCTTGGAATCATGAAATCATTTAGGTTGGAAAAGACCTTTAAGATCATCAAGTCCAACCTTAAACCTAACACTGCCAAGTCCACCAGTAAACCACATCTACATATCTTCTGAGTTCCTCCAGGGATGGCGATTCAACCACTTCCCTGGGCAGCCAGTTCCAATGCTTGACAACCCTTTTGGTGAAAAAATTTTCCCTAATATCCAATCTAAAGCGCCCCTGGCACAACTTGAGGCCATTTCCTCTTGTCCTATCGCTTTTACTTGGGAGAAGAGACCGACACCCACCTCGCTACAACCTCCTTTCAGGTAGTTGTAGAGAGCCATAAGGTCTCCCCGCTGCCTCCTTTTCTCCAGGCTAAACAAACCCAGTGGCCTCAGCTGCTCCTCATTACACTTGTGCTCTAGACCCTTCACAAGCTGCGCTGCCCTTCTTTGGAAGTGCTCTAGCACCTCAGTGTCTTTCTTGTAGTGAGGGGCCCAAAAGTGAACACAGTATTCGAGGTGCAGCCTCAGCAGTGCTGAGTACAGGGGGACAATCACTTCCCTTATCCTGCTGGCCACACTATTTCTGATACATGCCAGGATGTTATTGGCCGTCTTGGCCACCTGGGCACACTGCCAGCTCATATTCAGCTGGCTGTTGACAAACACACCCAGGTCATTTTTTTCCAGGCAGCTTTCTAGCCACTCTTCCCCAAGCCTGTAGCACTGCATGGGGTTGCTGAGACCCAAGTGCAGGATCCAGCACTTGGCCTCGTTGAAACTCATACAACTGGCTTCAGCCCATCAATCCAGCCTGCCCAGATCCCTCTGTAGAGCCTTTATACCCTCAAGGAGGTCAACACTCCTGCCCAACTTGGTGTCATCCACAAACTTACTGAGGGTGCACTCGATCCCCTTGACCAGATCATTGATAAAGATACTAAACAGAACTGGCCTCAACACTGAGCCCTGGGGAACATCACTTGTGACCGGCCACCAACCAGATTTAACTCCATTCCCCACCACTCTTTGGGCTTGGCCATCCAGCAGATTTTTACCCAGCAAAGAGTACACCTGTCCAAGCCATGAGCAGCCAGTTTCTCCAGGAGAGTGCTATGGGAAATGGTGTCAAAGGCTTTACTAAATTCCAGGTAAACAACATCCACCGCCTTTCCCTCTTCCACTAAGCAGGTCATCTTGTCATAGAAGGAGAGCAGGTTGGTCAAGCAGGACCTGCCTTTCATAAACCTGTGCTGACTGGGCCTGATCACTTGCTTGTCCTGTACGTGCCGTGTGATGGTACTCTGATCTGCTCTGTAATCTTCCCCGGCACTGAAGTCAGACTGACAGGTCTGTAGTTCCCTGGATCCTCCTTCTGGCCCTTCTTGTAGATGGGCATCACATTTGCTAACCTCCAGTCAACTGGGACCTCCCCCCTTAGCCAGGACTGCTGGTAAATGATGGAAAGCGGCTTGGTGAGCACTCCTGCCAGCTCCCTCAGTACCCATGGGTGGATCCCATCCAGCCCCATAGACTTGTGCATGTCTAAGTGGTGTAGCAGGTTGCTAACCATTTCACCTTGGATTATGGGGGCTTCATTCTGCTCCCTGTCCCTGTCTTCCAGCTCAGGGGGCTGGGTACCCTGAGAACAACTGGTCTTATAATTAAAGACTGAGGCAAAGAAAGCATTAACTACCTCAGCCTTTTCCTTATCCTTTGACAGTATGTTTCCCCCCCGCATCCAATAAAGGATGGAGATTCTCCTTAGCCTTCCTTTTGTTGCTAATGTATTTATAGAAACATTTTTTTATTGTCCTTTACGGCATTAGCCAGATTAAGTTCTAGGTGGGCTTTGTCCCTTCTAATTTTCCCCCTGCATAACCTCACAACATCCTTGCAGTGCTCCTGAGTGGCCTGCCCCTTCTTCCAAAGGTCACAAACTCCTCTTTTTTTCCCCTGAGTTCCAGCCAAAGCTCTCTGTTCAGCCAGGCCAGTCTTCTTCCCTGCTGGCTCGTCTTTCAGCACAAGGGGACGGCCTGCTCCTGCGCCTTTAGGATTTCCTTTTTGAGGAATGTCCAGCTTTCCTTGACTCCTTTGCCCTTCATAGAATCATAGAATTGTTTTGGTTAGAAGAGACCTTTAAGATCATTGAGTTCAGGACTGCCTCCCAAAGGACTCCATCAACCAGGCTCCTAAACAGTCCAAGGTAGCAGTTCTGTTGACCCCCCCCCCTTACTTCTCCAATAATTGAAAACTATCATTTTGTGATCGCTGTGCTCAAGATGGCTTCCAACCATCACATCACCCACAAGTCCTTCTCTGTTCGCAAACAACAGGTCCAGCAGGATGCCTTCTCTGGTTGGCTGACTCACCAGCTGTGTCAGAAGGCTGCCTTCCAGGATTCTCCTGGACTGTTTCCTCTCTGTATTGTATTTTATTGTTTTCTATTGTATTGTATTTTATTTCCAGGAGACATCTGGCTTTTCCAGCTTCTGGCATTTTGTCAGAGAAACCGCTCCTGTAGCCCCCCTGTTAATGAAACCTTGCCACACAAAGCCAATAGAAAGAGCCAGTACCTTCTCCTACACCTCACTGCTTTCTTCACTTCTTGTTCACATCACAGAATTTGGATGAACATAAAAATAAGAAGTGACCAAAATTAAGCTTAATGGTATATTTCTGGAATTTTCAGTTAATAAAAAGAAATCCAGTTTTCTTCATGCATAGCTAACACATACTAACTAATTGTAGTCTGAAGTCATCCATATTTGTTAGTCAGTAAAAATTAAAAAATTAAAGGGAGGGATGAAAGTCAGTATTTAAGTCTAAATCATTTACAGTTTGAAGTGTGTTCTGTGATGTACTATGTCAATAAATCAGTGTATTTTAATTTCAGTTTGGTGGAATTTTCTGGAGGTGGAAGTATAATTATTTGGTTGGGTTTTTTTTCTTTTACTTGGTTTTGGTTTTAGTTTTGTTACTGTTTAAGTTTTAGCCATCATTAGCTTTTGTTGATATAAAGTGCAGTATAACCTTGCGTGATTATACAAATAGAAAACTTCATATGAAATGAACAGTAATATCAGTGCTCTGCCAGAAAGGCAATGATCATACTAGACAAGTCTTCTATTTAAAATGTGAAGTTTTAAACCATTAATTGATAACAGTGTTTAAAAACATGAGGGAAAAAAATCTTGACTGTATCTTGACTGTCTTTGTAATGGAAGATCAAATCACCAAGCATCTCGTAATATTTTATTTTCATTCTCCAAATTAACAAAGAAAGGTGTTTGGATTCTAAACATTTCTTCTGCAGGAATGAAAATGAATCAATTAATTATGCCTACAAGGTAAATAAGGCTATATACAAGTCTTATTGTCTGAAAGAAACTGTGTCGTAATATTGACTGATGAAGAACAAGTTTTTGATCCATTTTCAAATCTAGAAATTTTTAAATTAGCACCAGCTTTTAGAAGAGAATTTTGATGTGGATGTTGCTATTATCACCTTCTTTAACTGATGACTGAATTAAAAAAAATTGAAGGTGGGTATGCAAGGTTCAAATACATTCTGCCTGATTCAGAACAGTATTTTCCATCTCAAATCAGATTACTGTCAACGTTTGTTCTGTCTAAGGTTTGTTACGATAACTGTTAAGTAACAGCTGTGTCTATAAGGTTTCCCTTCTCTCCTCTCTACAGGGTAAGCTAAAACCAGTTTCTATCAAAATCCTATGATAATTGAAATAATTTCACAAAATAATGCATCTTGCTAAACTAAAATGTTGGTAACAATGCTACCTATTCTTCCTGCTTTCCCCTTTTAAGGCAAGAGATTAAATACTTGTTCTTAAAAATGAAATTATTTCTCTGCTCAACACAAATGTAAATTTTAAAAACTATATTCTACAGGAGTGTATAAAAGCCAGGAAGCTCGGCTAATGCTCCACATATATCTCATTAAAGCACCCTCCCATACATCTGTGAGCAAGTTGAAAGAGGAAAAATGGGCTATGGATGGTTTTGTGAGTATATTTCTGCTACAAAAGAGAGAGAAATATTTTTGTTGTTGTTGTTTGAAATCATGCTGGTGTTCTAAACCCCCCAAATCCTGAGACATATCAATAGGAATCTTGTTAGCAATGCTGATTCATTAAATGAAATTAAAATTGTATTGTAAGATATAGGAGACCAGTCTGAGAGAAAATATGGGAATAGTCATAATGTGTAGGCACAATTATAATGCATGTTAACACAGAAGCCTTTCTCTTACTTTGGATTTTATTCCAATATACTGAGAAATTCTATCATCACGATAATATAATAACAATTTCAAATAATATTATAATATATAATATTAATGCAATAGCAATTTTTACCATTAGGCTAGCAGTGATGTTTTACCTTTTGGTGACATTTTTAGAAATACCATGAAAAAGCTAAACTGTTACATGTATGGGGAAAAGAAAATAGATTGCTCCAATTAAGCATTAAGTCCCTTGGAGGTTCTGGGGCTGAGCTTATTCTTTAAAAGGGAGAAAAAGGGTGCACATAACTGAGAGGAGGAAAGGTGAAGGAGAGGGGTAAAAAGAAGCAACAGCCCAGGTGGCTGGGACTTGTTTAAACCATGAGAGGGAAATCCATTCAGAGAATAGACAGGAAAAACAAACATCACCCAAGATAATGCTAAGGCTGGAAAAAACTGAGTGTGTTGGCCTGAGAAACTTTATTTGTCATAGAATAAAGTAGATTTTTTAGAAAAGAAAGGGCCTAAAATAATTTGGATGATGATAAACACTCATTTATCCCTATTACACTGTCTCATTTTTCAAGGAATCTGTCTGTTTTGTTATGTTTCACCTACTGGTAAAGCACTACAGGGACACCAATATGGGTGCACATGCCTAAAGAAGAGAAGAGGTGACATTGAAGTGTATGCATAAATTTATATTTGTATAACTTGTGGCACTACTTCAATAATAATTTTTAAAAAGGTGCAAAACCAGAACCAAAGCAAAAACCCCTAAACCTCTTAAACAGTAAATATGCTGGTAAAAGGGCTTCACTCCCTTGGTTTATACAAACTTCAGGCTTCATGAGCATGCTCCTGTGGTGAAAAAATATGGTAAAAACAAGACATTTACTTTCAGACTTCTAAATGTACAGAAGTACACAATACAGTCCCTACATTCCATATGCTATTTACATACTGTTCTTATTTGACCATTTTCTTTTTTTTTTTTTTTTTTTTTAATCTTGGAACAGCTCAAACAGGCTGTTTTACCCCAAAGTAAGAATTTCACCTGAGAAATGCACCCTTTCTTCAGTGAAAACATAGCTTCAGGTCATTGCTGAAGACATAGTTACCTTGAGAAAGGGAAGCTTAAGGGAAAATCTTGAAGGAATCTGCCGTGGGACCACTGAATTTAAACCTAATAACTACCCTGGGAAGCAAGTACCTGTAAATTGAATACAGCGTGTTTGTTCAGAATGTACTTACCCTGATAAAGGAGATGTTCATAGGATTACAACCCTTTCTTTCCTCCCACAAGTCTTTTAGTTTATACTAGCATATATTGCTCTTGTACCAAAGCCTCGTTCAATATTCTTCTGGTCTACAGCTGTATAATTAAATAATTATTGGGATAAGCACTGAGAAAGAGCAAAGGAACTAACTGTCAGTTGAATGCAAGATCTTGTTTATTTATTTTTAAAGTAATTATTAAAACCTCAATACTTGCATCCTTAGGATTACCTACAATATAACTTTTGCCATCTAATTCCTAAACAAATCAGATAATTGTGAAGTATGTAAGATGGTTAGAAATACTGAAATCTTGAATTGCCAGAAACTTTAAACTTTGTTGGTTTAAAAAAATAATACAGTTAAAGTTAGTATAACGTAGTATATGTGACCATAAGGCACCATGTCTAAGTTGTGCCTTTAACATTTCTGTCTTTTCCTTTAAACTTTATAGATTTCCTAGAAAAAAAGAGGGTGTTTTTAATGGGGAATAACAGCTACCAGTCAAGCATATTAGGATCTCTCTCTTTAAAATAGATACTTGTACAAAATTTTCCCCTTTTAATTCAGAGTACTTTTTGTTTACAGGTTTCTGCTGAACCTGATGGAGCAACATATGTTTTTCAAGGATTCATCCAGGGTAAAGATTATGGACAATTTGGACTTCAAAGATTAGGTATTTAGTAAATTCGAAGTTTTTGCCAGTTCATTGTTCCATATTCTGTTTTATTATGTCCAGCAGTATAAGGGTATCTGCAGGATGTTACGAGTATTGACATTTCATAGAATATTGAGATGTTAATTTCTTTAAAATCTCATCTAAGTAGTACTTACAAAGAGTGTTTTGTCAGAAGTGGTAAGGAGTTATAGATGCCTTACAATGTACTTCTTAGTATAGCTATACATTTGACATGTTTTGAGAAATGTTTTTCTATGAATATGTGTAAAATGCATTTAGTTTCACATCTTGATAACTAGAAAGCCCATGTTATAGAATGCTCTGCTAAACTGGTCTCTTGTTCAGGGTGCTGAAACAACATTTCACCTGAACATTTGCTAGAAGAGTGAAACTGCTAAATATTTGCAAGTAAATCTTAATGTTACTTTTAAGAAGAACAAAATCTTACACACTTGATAAGCATTTATTTTCTAAAAATTGACTTCTTGGTTCTATACATTCAGTTCTACACCAAACTAACAGTCTTTATCCTTTCTTGGAGAAGACAGCTCTGGTAACAGAGCTCTAGTAACAACATTCTGTTGTGCTTTTTAAGAAAAAGAACTTCAGTTACTTTTCTGTTACTGTTTTAAAAACAGTGTTATTTCTCCTTCAACAAGAATTTGAATTTAGTTAATACTGAATTCTTGAATAATAAAACATTACAAATATAATCAGTAATATAATCGAACATATGTTATTATAATTTTGACTTTTTGTAACACAGTACGTTAATGTGTATTAATAACATCCAAAACTTGAATCCCATACAGAATTATGCAGGAAGATATTTACTGTACCAGCATATATGTATTGTTCTCCTGAACATTTTGCATCCACTTATTAATCAGAATATGGTATACCACACTACATTTACTTTCCAGGTGGGCTCAGCATACAGCTGTATGTATACAGCTGAACATATTATGATGACCCTATCACAAGGTGTTATTGAATTCTGAAGTTTATGGAGCAGTATGTGCTGGGGGGAAGAGACACATATATTATATTACTTGTTTTTTCTTATTATTCTTTTTAGGTCTTAATATATCTGAGGGTTCAAATTCTTCTAATCAACCACATGGTACAAACAGTAGTTCAGTGGCCATTGCTATCCTTGTGCCTTTCTTTGCCCTTATATTTGCTGGTTTTGGCTTTTATCTTTATAAACAAAGGTAAGTACAAATTAAGTGTATAGAATTCCTGTATGACTTGGTGGTTTTGTTGCCCTCAGTCTTTGTTACTGTAAATAAAGTTTTCTGTAAAACCACAAAATATTTGCAAAATATGCGCATAGACAGTTCTTCCTACCTCCATTAAGGTCTGGCATAATGACTGAGAGATCAGTTTATTGTACTGTGCTATACTTTCATTCCTACCTATTTAAAATGTTATAAATTTCTCTCTTTACGATACCAAAATAGATGCTATAAATTAATGGCATATGGGGAATAATATAATGAATAGACTTTGTGTGTACTTAGAGTAGATTGCCTGTATTATTTTTTTTACATGTGGCAGAATTATGAGTCATATCTTGAGTAATTTGTTTTAATGCCTGCTGTGTTTATTGGCTTGCAAGTATATGGAAGTATTATGTCACTGAGAAGTTTCATTGTGGAACTCTTTCTGCATATGAAATTATTAGTTCATATGCAATTACCTTACATAGCCACCAGTCTTCTCAATTTCATTAGTCTAAGTTCAACAGTTTTGTTCATGTTACTGAGACCAGTATTAGTTCTTTGGATTTAGTGTCAAGTAATCTTTTCCTATAGCTTTAAAGCGTTAGATAACTAAAGAAAATTTAACCACTTTAATGACAAGACAATTCATTGCCTACTAACTGTCAAAATGGTGATTTACATCTGGTAGCCTGACAATAATAATTGTAATATACTCACCAGGATAACATTAGTTTAAAACATGTACCATGATTTTTAAATGGTACCACTTGTTTTTTAACTGCTTCAGAATATGAAAAAATGCTCCTGTAATTTTTTTCTACACTTGTTATTAACTGTGTGCTGTAAGCACTTATCTTTACATTTCATATTGATGATTTACAATACAGTATGCATTTTGCATAACAATATATATGAAATGTTTTCAAGGGATTGAACTTTGATATTTTAAGTTACTTAATCAAAAAGGAAATGTTTCAGCTATAAATTCATTCTTGATAAATTTGTTGAGTCTTCAAAGGGAAAAAGAAAATCTCAGTCACTTGGCTGGGGAATTACTGCATCTTTACAAGATTTTCTTGTACTCTTAACTATTTACCAGCTGATCATCCAAGTGGAAATACCTACCTCTTCTCAGGCTGTTACCTCATTTTTTTAAGTGAACACCATTTTAAATGAATCATAAATCCCTTAAACTTTGATAAAGAGAGTACTAATTCTTAGCACAGATACTGTACCAAAAAATGAGATGTTGTATTTAGCTCACATAATTGGAATTGGGAGCTAGATACTGTTCATATTCTTAAACCACTTTAGAGTCAGTGAGGAAAACTGCAGTTACAAATACTCTGTCTTTCTTCTACAGGACTGCACCTAAAACACAGTATACAGGATGCTCTGTACATGAAAATAATAATGGACAAGCTGCTTTTGAAAACCCCATGTATGACACAAATGCAAAGTCTGTGGAAGGGAAAGCAGTACGATTTGACCCCAACTTGAACACCGTTTGCACAATGGTATAATGTGGTAATGATACGTCTTCAAAGTCTGGAATTGACACACAACACAGTGCACACACAGTTCACTGATTAAAAAAAAAAAAATTAAAAAAAATTAAAGCACACTTTTCAGGATATACTGGGTCACCTTTTCCTGAGGATGATAGACAAGAATGGGTTGTGGTTATTTCGTTTTGATTTTGTTTTTCATAAACTGGATCAGAATTCTTCTTCGTGTGTACCACGGAGAGTTTTAAAAAATTTTGCTGCACTCCATGAGTGTTACTCACAGTTTATTTGCTTTTTTAAAAAAGGAGGTTATTCTAAAACATAAAACATATTTGCATATATTGGAGGAGCATCCACTATCAGTATTTCTGTGCTTTATAAAAAATATAATAGAGGGACTGGGTTAAAAAAAAGATATAGGTAGAAAATAAGAGCTATACTTACAGGAGACAATAGGTCACTGACTTCTCTTTAACAGTCATATGCTACATCTTTTTCATGAGTTTGTACCTTTTTTTCATTTATTTAGCCAGTTTAGTATTTTATTTTTCTCAGAACAGTTAATTTTTTAAGTCCAGGGTGTAGTATTTAGAAATCAGCAAGTACAACTTACTCTTTTCACGTCACAGAAGAAAAATTAAAACATCATGTTCTTATTTAATGAATTTCCTTTCCTGCTTCACATCTTGCTTCCTTTTCATCTTCCAAGTCAAGCTCCTTTTCTCTGTTTCCGTTAACAATACCCCAAAATGGTAATGTTTCTACATTTCTTTTATCAATCATACAACTAGAAAATTTTTGCAATCAAGAAGCTAGTGTGAATTGACCTTTGTCATGTGGCTATGTTCCTTACTGTTGAAGATCATTCAAAAGAGTGACCATCTTACATTTTTTTTCAAAAGTGAAAACATAATTTCATGATATTTCCAATTAAAAAGTGCAGTTTACAGTAACATTAGCAATCAAATCCATATATCAAAAATTTAAGAGTCCATTTTTCAACCCATGCTAGTTAAATCTAAACTGTATCACATCAGTTTATTCCTTCAGCATTTTGTCAAAATGCATGCACAAAGCATGGTGAAATCCCATTAAAGTTGATGCATTCCAACAGACTTCAATGAACTTTGGATCAGACCTACAAAGCAAGAGGAAGTTATAATTTGGAAATACTGTTTTCACATCTATTTAATCTATATATTCCATACTCTATGGAAACAAATCCTTACAGCTAGTGATTTAAAATTGAATATATTACCATAGTGCAATGAAAACAAAAATATTAAATATATATATATATATATATATATAAAGCCATGATTTTATTAGGGACAATCCATTCATTTTAGGGACAATTCAGATTCCACAGCCCTCAGATACAAGTTTTAGACATTCCAGAATCGCTTCTAAGGAAATGTAATTTTTAGTTTTACAGTTATTTCATATCAGAATTATTCAGTGGCAACTCAGTAATTTATTTGATAGGTCATTGTCTTCCATTCATAGCATGACTCACAAATGCTGTGTGTTAGCCAGTGTGAATTATCTGTTATTGTCCCTTTCAGACATTAATAATTCTGTGAAAATCTAAACTTTTTATTACCGTAATAGAGAGTGCCTACCAAAAATCATTGTACCCAGGATTGCTGCTTGGATTTCTATAATGTTTGATGAATTTCTTATAAACCATTTTACAACACTTTGTTTTGAATATTCATACAACTCTGTCAAACTGTATTCTACTAAAAGGATGCTGGTTTATATTTTATACCATTGGTTGTTATTTATTCTTGTTTATTCAAATGACTGCAATAACTATGATTCATTCATTAATGTTAAGGTTAATACATTTGAGATCGTTTAAACTTTTTCTTCTGCAACTGGCTACTCCTCTTATATTAATGCATACACTTTTGTAAAGAAGTATATTTTTATGAAAAAGGATTTGTAAAAGTATGATGTAAATTTTCAGTGCAATGTAAACAAAATAAAAATGGACAATTGCTTTTTTTAACCATGTTTCTTCTTTGGAGGATGAGCTTTAAACTCATTTCAGTTGTGAAGATGAGAAAATAACCAAATTAATAATTTAAATCTAGTATTTTTGTGGGTCTTAAAATCATGTTATTTTTTTCTGAATCTTCCTGTGAATTTTAGGTGAGGTAAAAAGACTTAGATTACTTTCACAAATAAACAATGAGCACAATGTTTAAAATTATCTATTTACTAAAATGAATTTTTTGTTTGACTTGAAGAAGCAGATTTCCAAAAAGAAAAAGGCTTATACTTGTCAACCCAGTGAAAAGCACGGAGAAACCTCTTTTTTTTTTACTTTAAAAGAAAAAAAACCCAAAACCTTAGTGTTCCTCAAGGTTGTAGACAGCCTACTTTGCACATTAATTTTGCTACCTTTCTGCAGAAATGTACAGGTTGTACATATTAACAGGTAGTACCAGTGCATACAGTATTTTCTGGCATTAAAAAAAAAAGTGTTGTCTTTTAATGACATTGAACTGGAGGGGAGGATCTTAATTATTTTACTGTAATATTAGAACTGTCTTTTAACTGTCCCTTTTGCTTGCAAGCATGGAAAGTGAATGACAAATCCTGATCTGAAATGCTATTCATAGGATAACTGGGGGAAAAAAAAAGTAATATTATTTTGTGAATTTTGTACTCTACATAAACAAAAGGCCCATTCAGGCCCATGTTGAAATTACTGAACACTGTGTTCTTAAATACATTGGAAAGAGAAGAAAAGAGTCACTGTAAAAATGATACTGTGAGGATCATGCACTAATGTTTTTCAGGCAGGTTCTAGAGCAAATTGGTTAACTCTGAAAAGCAAAAAATCCTGTTTCACAGCGGCCAAACTTTCATAACACTACCTAGAATTTGAAGTTAAGCTTTTCATTTTCTGGTTTATGCATTATATGTTTTAACATATACAAGTAAATAAAACTTACATTGAACTCGTTCAACAATTCTGTTAATGCTTAAGCTAGTATCCAGCTTGTGCTTTTCAAGAATTGTATTGACTTCATTGTAATAGAGAACAAACTATTCATAATAGATTTTTTTTTTTTGTTGGGTTGAATTTGTTTGGTTTTTTTTTTAATTTTGTCTTGATTTTGGGGGGGTTGTTTGGGGTTTTTTTTACTGTAGTTCTTGAGCTGTTTGACTCATAAATTGTTTCTGTGTGAACTGTTCGATTTTCTACTAGCAGAGTGGTTAATTTTCACTTCGGCCTATGGAATTTCAAGTTTTGGTTCCTTGATTGCAGTTGGTTAGCACAGTCTACTCACTGTTTTTTGTTTTTCTCAAGAAAATAGCTGAAATTAATTAGACTTTCTGTCCTCCAAGCACTTTGGCTACATTATTCAAGCGAACACACTACACAGAGAAAATATGCGAGAATACAGAGATTGTTATGCAACTCTGTGAGTCCTTTCAAGATCAATACTACTGACTAAGATTTAAAACTTCATTTAAGTTTCTATAACCAATAGCCACTAAACTGGGTAACTCTGGAGGCATTGAGACTAGCTGTCTCTGATATGCATTGAGCTCTTTTAATTCTACATTATCTGTGTGTCAAGAGCTAACTGGTCCATGACGTCTCATTAAAGTCATACTACAATCTGGTTCATTCCTGAAATCGAGAAACCACACAGTATCATCTAAACTCACCAAAGCAGCAATTCTAATAGAACTACTCAGAATGACTACACCATCATAAAATGGAGGTAAAAATGTCTGATTTTACTTTTGTTTGTGAAACAGAGCTGGCATTATTATGTAGACATCTTATCCTGGAGGAATTCCTTGACAACAATATAAGAAGTTATTCTTGTCAAGGAAATCATTTAATAGCTACAAATCTTAGAGCTTCTTATAGACAACTAATAGAAATTAAAGTGAGCCTATAGCTAAGTCACTAAGCTATTAATCTAGGTAAAAGGCAGCTTTTCTTTTCCAGGCCTTGAAAGTGTATATCTCAACCCACTAGTACAGTTGGCTGAAGTTTTATGAAGTATTCCATCATTTTTTCCAACATTAGTGAAATGCGGGGAATTTAAAATCTTGGATATCACTGCACAAAGACATCAGCAGATCTGTATGCCACTGTGTAGATTCAGTTGCAAGTCCCTAACTACTACAGTATCTCAGTAAAGCATAGTTCTCTTGTGCTGGAATATACTATTTTTTTACCATGGACGCTGCTGCCCATGATCTTTCTGTAAAAGATGATCTGTTCCACAGTAAGAAAGTCAATGTATGTTGCAGTATGCTTCTTTATAGGATGGTGAGAGTTGGAGAAAAATATGGCTTGTATCATTTGTTATATTAAGACCCCACAATCTTTCTTGGATTCATTTGTGAAAATATTTTCTGATTTCACATTGTCAGTAGGGATTGATATAGGTACATGAATTGTCTATGACTTCAGGAGGACCACCCAAGCAATGGTAAACTCAGCAACCAAGTTCCAGAGCTCCTCTCACATGCATTTTGTTAGTAGTCTTAGTAGCTGTGCAAGGTACTACAGAAAATCTACTTAGCATCTCTCAAAACCCCCAAATTTCCTTTTTTTTTTTTTTTTTAGTTTCTGTCATTTCATTTTGATTTGGTCACCAAAATTTCAGTCAAACATGATAGAGACAGATGCACTGGGTTAGTTTTCTGGTAAAGGTGCAAGTTAATAAAATCTGTATTACTAGTTAGCAATTAAACCTGTTATTCTTTACATCCTTTTATATTGTTCTCCATGAAATAATTAATTCTTACAGAAGAGAATATTCATGTGAGGGGAGCATGATATAACATTTAAAAATGCATTTGGGTTTAAGATTTCTGCGCTGTATATCTATTTATTTTCCAAAATCTTTGTGTGATCCCAGCTGGCATTTTTTAAGCAAATGAGGGCCTATCATTTCTGCACTAAGTTGGTTTTATCTTTAGTTCCTTACTAAGTCTCCCACTGTTTGATCATTTGTTCATCATCTACTTTGTACTGCTGTCCTAAGTGACAGCTAGGACAATGGAAAAATGATTCATCATTTGGTTTACTTATGTAGTAAAATAAGTACAGTGAGTAATAGCTCAGGCAAATAATTTTGAGTAAGATTTTGTAGTGTCAGAAATTAACCAGGACCAATATTAAATGAATATTTGATTACATAAAAAATATTTCAGTGAAGTAGCTGTGTTCCTGTCACAGGTGAGTGATTTAGGATCCTTAAAGAATGTGTAAAACTGAAACTTAACAGAGTTTGATTGCAAGGTTCACTCTATTACTTACTACATGGGAGAAACATACAAAGGAAAATTGAGTTAGAATTGATTTTCCATGATTTGCACAGAGATCGGAGATGCAAAAATGTAAGGGAGACCCTCCTGTTGAGTCACAAGGTTCAAAATGGACCCTCTTGCTTTCTAAACTCTTGATGGAGCTTAGGGGAGGCTAGGTCCAATTTTAGTGTCAGACCTGGTCAACGGTTTATATCTATGAGATTCAACGGGTAAGGAAAACCTCCTGTCGAGTCACGACGTTCAAAATGGAGCCCCTTGCTTTCTAAACTCCTTCTCAGAGAGGAGTCTAGGTGCAGCTGGATCCAGACTTAGTCTCAGACTTGGACAACAGTTTATGTCTAAAAGATTATATGTGCACAATTGATCCTTTATATCACTTAGGATT